TTCATTTATTATCATACCTACATAATTTTAAAATATAATCAATTACTCAAAATTTTGATTCTTAAATTCCGACCTGAAATTTTTACACAACAATCAGCATATCTCAACCAAAATTCCTTCCTACCTTGTTAAATGACATTGGTATTTTAGTATTTTAATCCTACCCAATATCTGGTGATCCCTTTGACTTTAAACATAATAACATAACCCTTACACGTCACCTTATATATTGCTGCACAACAATCATTAGTACTATAACATTATAGTGACTTGCTCAACAGTAACTTACCACCAAGATTTCTTTGATTCAATCAATGATGAAATTACTTATCTCAATCAAATATAGTTTTAAATAGATATTGCTGCACAACAATCATTACAAGAACATTATTGTGGCTTGCTCAACTTACCACCAAGATTTCTTTGATTCAATCAATGATATTCCTGCACAACAATCATTAATACAAGAACATTATTGTGGCTTGCTCAACACTAACATACCACCAAGATGTCTTTGATTCAATCAATGATGAAAATACTTATCTCAATCATATCTAGATTTAAGTTAATTTATCTACTTGATCATTATATTTATTTTTAAAAATAATTTTAAACATTCCAAAATTCCACAATCATCTAAACCTCAAATTTTAATATATATTTTTCAAAAATATAGATTTTAAGTTAGTTTGTATTATATTTTTTAAATATAAATTTTTATTTAAACATTACTCAATTATTCTTAATACAACAAAATTTAAATTTTCAATTTAATTTTATAAATTTTATTTATTTATTATTTTTTTTAAAAAAATAACATTTTTGAAAAGTCATTCATTCATACATACCCCCTACCCTCTTCTCCTTTTTTTTTTTATTCTTCTAAAATGGGTATGTCAAGCATTTGTAATGCCTGCCATAGAAATATAACCTTGACCCAAGCTATTTGTTTTTATAAACATGGGCCCAGGTCAAAACCATGTATAAACTCTGGTAAACCCCCATCAAATGAAATTTTGTACAACAAAATTGAATCAACCCCCATTGTAATTCAAAATTTTTATCCTGATTTTTATGATAATTTTTTAAAGTGGGAAAAGCCACCAACCTTAATCCACCTGCCCCTTAAATCAAGGTCTTTAATTTCTAATTTTTTAACAATATTTATTATGGAAGTTAATTCAAATTTAAATTCCCTTAAAGCTTGGGAAAATCTTTTAACTTTTCCTTTTAAAATTAAACCTACAGATAAAAATAAAAAGACTATTTTGCATGAAAGTATAAAATATAAAATAGACCATTTTTATGATTTAGAAATGGAAAATTACGTTCCTGATGTAAGGGCTACATCTGATTTTGCCCATAAATGTAAAATTATATCAAAAAGAATAGACCAAGGGGACGTATGTGGAGCTCTTAAATTAGCTTCATCTAATGATAAATTGGCTCCATTTGATAAACATACTTTTACTTTATTAAAAGAATTGCACCCTCAGGCTTTTCCTGAAGATCTTCCCATCCCTATAAAATCTAATTTAATCGAAATAGGTAAGGAAGAATTAATTAAAACAGTTTTATCTTTTAATAAAAACTCTGCAGGGGGAATTGACGGTTTTCGCCCCTCTTATTTCCAATTTTTAATTAACCCTAAAAATCCTTATCAAGATTCATTTGTAAATTCATTGATAATACTTAGTGAAAATATATTGAACAATGATTTACCTAGTCAAATTCACCAAATTCTTTTTGGCGCAAGATTAATTGCTTTTTCTAAGCCTGATGGTGGAGTTCGGCCAATTGCAATAGGGTCTTTTTTTAGGAGACTTTTAGCTAAGATAATCGTTGAGCGCATCAAACCTGATGCTTCAAAAATGTTCCAAACATATCAACTAGGCTTTGGTACTAAAGGGGGATGCGAAATAGCCGCTCACTCTCTTCGCATATATATCGAAGATCCTCCTCCAGACGCCGTAGTCTGTAAGCTTGATTTTAAAAATGCTTTTAATTCTTTATCCAGAAAAACATTTTTGAACATTTTTTATGAAAAATTCCCAGTTTATGCAAGATTTATTGAACAGACTTATGGCTGTAGAACCCCTCTCAAATTCGGGGAATATACAATTCCTTCTGACGAAGGTATTCAACAAGGAGACCTTTGGGCCCTCTGATCTTTAGTTTAGGTATACATAACCTAGTTCATTGTCTAAATTCCTCTTTTAATTTAGATTTAAACATATGGTATCTAGATGATGGTACCATTTGCGGAACTTCTAAAAATATTCTTGCAGCGATAGAATATATAGAGAAGAATTCTCTAAACATAGGCCTTACTCTAAATAAAGCTAAATCGGAAATATGCTTTTTAAATTCAAATACTCTCAAAGTCCAAGGGTTTAAAATCATCAAAAAAAGTGAAATTATCTTCTAGGTTCACCTTTAAGCAGTTTTTCCAACTGTGAGGTGTTCGTGGAAAAATTTTTCGAAGGCTTATCAGGACTTGAAACTATTTTAAACGAAATTCCTTCACACCAGAGCTTTTTTCTTTTAAAAAAATATTTATTTTTACCAAAGATTGTACATATTTTTAGATCTTCTTCCTTTTTTTTAAATAATGAAATTATTAATCGTGTTCATGAATTTTTTAGAAGTTTATTAGAAAATATTTTAAATATTAAATTGGAAGATTTTAATTGGGGTTTCTCACAATTACCCTCGAAAATGGGTGGTTTAGATTTATATCCTTTAAATCTTATATCTCTTTCCTCATTTTTGGCATCGCGTTTGATGAATAACGCCATGATATCTTCTTTTATCTCTCCTAAAGATAACCTTTTAAACTCAGCCTTGACAGCCTGGGTATCTTTAGATCCACCTGAAGCTGTCTTACCCACGATCTTAACACACCAATCTATTTTCGAACCTTTAATTAAAAAAAATTTTTTTTTAAATAATCTCATCAAACCCCCCTTTGGAGTATATTCAACTATTACAGAATGCTGACTGTACTAGTGGTTATGAATGGTTGGAAGCATTACCAAGTCGTAACCTAGGTAACCTCTTATCAGATGAACAATTAAGAGTTGTCATAGGCCATCGACTTGGATGTAACATTGTTCAACCACATACATGCATCAAATGTAAAATATTAGTTGACTCCAAAGGGAGACATGGTCTAAATTGTATATAGTCAAGGCAGGCATGCAAGGCATGTAGCAATTAATTTAGCTATAAGCCGTTCTCTTACCAGGGCCCGAATACCAAACATCCTGGAGCCTACAAATTTATCGTTAGATGATGGCTTAAGACCAGATGGCTTAACTTCCGTGCCTTGGTCTTTAGGGAAATCCTTAATTTTGGACTTCACATGCGTATCTTCTTTCCCAAAAAATTTAAATTCTAATCCGGTTGATATAGCCGAGAAAAAAAAACAATGAAATATTCCAAATTCACAAATTATATTTATACACCCATTGTTATCTCTTCCCTTGGACATATGCCAAGCGGAACTTTAAAGTTTTTAAAAAATATAGGGGATAAGACAAGAGCCCTTACATCAGAACCTAAAGAATTTTATTTTTTAAAACAAAACCTTCAAATCACAATTTTAAAATATAATTACGCATGTTTTTTGGGAACTTGTAGTCCCACCTCCGTTTTTATATAATATTGTTTTATTTTATTTTATATTTGATGTGAGAAAACTATATTGAATAAAAATATATTATTTAAAAAGAAAAAAAAAAGAAAAGTTACATATATTTCATTTTATCCTTTTCCAAATACATCGTGTCCATTTTCCAATATATTGCAAAAGGTTACTAAAGAAATTATTAATATATGATCGAAAGAATAATTATGGAGGTTTAATACGTATAGGTAAATTTAAAATATGTTATGAAGTATAATATGTTTTAAAAAGTTTAGGAAAGTTATTTTCTTAGTAATAAAGAAATTTAAAAAATATTTCTTATTATTTTTATACTTTCATGGGAGATTTACCTCCATATATCTTTTAAAGATATAATGAGCAAACTTTTAAGAGGGTAGGAAGGAAAAAAAAAGTAGGGGATATTGTGGCGGTAAATATCGGCCTACTGTAATAGAGAAATTTTTTAGTTAAAATTAAAAATTTTAATATTGTATAATCCTTTTTTTATTTTTATTTTTTTGCTAATTTTCAAAAAGAATTTAGAATTTTTTTAAGAAAGTGAGCATCAAGTTCAAAAAACTATACTACTTCATGGATGTCCAATACAAATACCGCCTAAGCAATAAAACGTATTTAGTTAAATTTATATATATTACATTTATAATTGATCAAATAAAATCAAAATATAATTTTTAAAATATAAATTGTTAGCATATTTTAAATTATTTTTTCTTCGGTTGAAATTGACATGACTTCTTTTTTTATTATGCCTATGTCTTTCGCTAATTTTCTCAGAAATAAATAATATAAAAAGATGCGAGTTTCTTATTAAATATTGGCGCATTTTTACTCGCATCAATAAAAATGCAATGTTTTGTTTCGATGATATTTTAATTGCCTGTGAAGATGTAGCCTATAATTTTTTAAAACTATTATAGCACTGTACAATCTTATAATTTTTATTTTATTAAATTGTTTTTCCGCTAAATCGACCTATCTTATTTTTTTGATATCTCCTCCTTATCAAAGTTATATTATTGGTATTATTACTAAATTCCTAAAATTCAGAACATTACCCGCTTTTATGTATTTGAATTATTCTGAGTATATCCTTTATCATCATATAAAACAAGGCGCGGAATCTTTATTTATTGGTGGGGACTTAATAAAAATAATATTTTTATATTTACAATCATTTGTTTCTCTTAATATAAACATATCAAGCAATTAAAGGTTAATTCAATTTCAAATACTGCTCACCCAATGAAAAAAATTTATGGAATTTCTGGGTCCTGACTCTTGAATATATTCTTCTTATTAAAGCTTATCCTTGCCATTTAAAAGCATAAAGAACAAAACAAAAAATTTTTAATATTTTACAAAATTAAATTTTTCATATATATAATATATCGGGAAAAATACGACTATGAGATTCTTTGAGTATCATTTCATAATTATAAAAAATAAAATTAATATTAAAATAAAACATAAATTGTATATTATTCGCCGGTATTCATATTATTTATGAGCAGTATACATGTAGGAAACTTTTTGGACCATTTGCCATTAGATAAGCATTTTGATTTTCTGGAGCCTTTTCTTTTGAATCCAGGTAAACATGAGAATTCTACTTTTTCCCCTGGCTCAAAGATATATCGATTGTGGGGCTTTACCATACCATACTTTAGGACATTTAAAATCTCTCGAAATTTTAGCTTGCACGATGATGTAATTCCTATTTCATAGTTAATAAATAAATCATGTAAAATTAATATATATACTTAAAAAAAGTTTTATAAAATATTTCAGGCCTAACTTTAATTAGCAATTTTTCTATTTAAAGATAAATAAGTGATTAGCTTTTATGGCAGATGGGTAGTTGAGGGGTTGACGAATTGACTTCGTTGAGCCATTGACCAGATTCTAAACATTTTGAAAATCGAGATCCTGTTTTTTCGTGAATAAGATAACCCGTATCGCATTTGTAAACCAAGCGGGTACCGTATTTAAAATCTTGAGTATCGTTTTTCAATTTTCCCAAAATTTTATAATATCCATTTTCTATATTTTTAGGTTCGGGGCAGAGCACGTCTTTTTTTGATTAGAAAGGATATTATTATAAAATTTAAACAAAATTATTTAAAAAAAGGAATTATATAAAATTTTTAAAATATTAAATATATTTTTAAAAAATCCCCAGATAGTGACTAATAATGAATTCCTCGGAGGCAATTACGTTCAGTTGTCCAAAGCGATATTATTTATAAGATTTTTATCCATTTTATGAATAAACGTATATAAATGAAAGGAATGCGGAAGAAAAATATTTCTGTTAAAAATGGACTAGTTAGTCAATACCTATACCACACCCTTCTTTTCTGATTGATACAATTTAAAAAAAATTTTCTTTATTATTTAAGGTTTATGATTTTTAAAAATTTACTCATTTGATTTCAAAAGTAAGTTTTATTCAAAAACGGAACTAAAGAAATGTTGATAATTTTGAAAAAAATAATTTTATCAATCTATATAAAGCTAAGGCCCTAGTACTAAAGCCAAGACAGATTTATTCTATTAATACCTATGCAAGTAGGAATTTTTGCCGACCATTGACCGTTAAATTGGCAGATTATGTGAGAAGCTCCTGCTATAAAAGACCCCTTAGGACATGCGAAAGTAACTATGCTATTATAAATTGATGCCTCAGATTGCATTTGTACTATCAAATTTTCTATGTTTTTTCTGATTTCGGGGCACGTTATTTCTTTAAAAATTTTTAATAAATATTATAAGTTAATTTTAATTACAAATAAATTAAATTTTAGTTTTTTTCCCTAGATGTTATTTAAAAATACAATTTTTTAAGGAACTTAATCAATATTTACATTGAGCTATGTTAATTTGTAGAATAAAAGATGTAATAAACGGTTGGCTTAATAATACCATAATTCTAGTACCATAGACTCCTCTTATATTTAAATAGAGTCATATGTAATAATAAATAAAAGGTCGCCTAAAACAAATAATTTTGCTCAAAAATAAAACATTCACATTAGAAAAGAGCTCAGTAAATTTTATGTAATGTAAATACAATTTACAATGTATATACGAACTTTGACATTTAGGAAATATATCACTCCAACTACCATCGGCGTCACAAAGGATTTCGCTTTGAGGGAATATGCGGTATCCCTCAACGCAAGCGAATTTTATTCTCGTCTTCATTTTATAATCATCCCTGGTATCGGATATTACCTTGAGCAAAAGGTTATCGTTATTATCGAAATTTATAGGTGGACAATGGACATCTATAATAATTTATTTTTAAATAAATACAATTTAGTTGAAAGTGAAAAAAAATTAATAGACCTCAAAATTTAACAAAATAAATATACACTAATTATCTTCAGAGACCTACAGATAGAAAGGCATATTTACATATCTGTTTTCACAGGTTTGTAAACATTTTCAGCCCGTGTTTATATTTTGTTAAAATAGGGTCGGGCTCACAGGTCCTTATATCTTATCATATGAATAGCTCTCTTTCCAATAAAATTTCTAAATATGCCCCCTTAAATAATCCCACCTTATTAAAGGTATAGATTTTATAAAAAATAATCTTACATTTTAGTATATAAAGGTGAATACAATCAAAATATATAAGACCTTAAATTTTAAACTTTTAAATATAATAGAGATCTCATGTTGATTTCTATAGGGAGTGATACAAGTGTATGTTCCGCTATCATCAGAATGGCTGAGAGGTATAGTTAATGTATATTCATAATCATTTCCATTCTCCGTGCCAGAATTCCAACTCAACGGATAATATTGGCTATATAAAGGAAAATATTTTTTTATAGGATTAAAACCATGAACTTTAATGGCTCAAAGAGATTAGAATATCGGTATCTAACGCGGTTAAAGTAATTAGTTCCAAGTAACTAGTTTTACCTAATTATAAACTAGTTACATTATTGCGTTACAGTTAGTAAAAAAATTTGGAATTTAATTATAAAAGATACTAATCACTTTTCAAAAATATGTTTTTAAAGTTTAAGAAAGCTCATTTGGAAGAAACTTGACCTCTTTTACAAGCCAGCAGGGGCGTCACAAGCCTTTACAACCTCAGGGGGCTGAAATTTAAATATTTTCAAAATTACCATTTTTTAGCTAACATTTTCAAAATGATCTTTTTTTTAGCTAACATTATCAAATTTACATTTGGTATAAAACAAAATTTCAAAATTTTGAGAAGACTCTTCAAATTTTTCATGGGGCTCGAGCCTCTGCGCCCCCCCCCCCCTAGTGACGCTATTGCAATTTTAAAAATAGCTTATTGTGTATATAATAAAGTAAAAATTGATTAAACCCAAATTTTAAAAAAAATTTATAAAGTGCTATTTATATTTTTTTCGGTGCTTATAAATCTTATATTGTGATATTTTTTTCAATACAAATAAATATCGATATATTTTTTCATTGCAACTTTCTTTATATGTATTTAAATTATATTTCATTTATTTTTATATGACACATTATTTTATATAATTAAAAAGATTATATTAAAAATATGATCTATATAAATAATTTATAACAATGCAACTAGGTAATTTAAAATTAAAAAAAATATATAACGGGTGATTATTTACATTTCTAAGGATGCGACTTGTAACGGAAATAGTTACTTTCCAAGAGTAACCCCCACTTAAAAGCAGTTGCCCTTTTAGTGGAGTTAAAAAAGAAAATAAAATGTTTAGGTTGAAAACCATATATTTTTTAATACATATATATACAGACTGATTAACACATGATTAATGAGCTAAAAAATGCTGAATAAAAAGTCATCCCCGTCTTGTTATGTAATTCATAAATCTATGCATATTATATTTGAAAGAAAATCAATAAACATTATTATTTTTTCAACGCTTATCCATCCTATTTTTCAATAAATTAATTATTTACAAAATTGACCTATTGTCTGTTTAAAATTTTCACATTTTCTTTTCACATTTCCATATAGAGTAAATAAATAAATTTGTGTTTTAAAGGTTTGATAATATATGTCCATTATCCCCTCTTCATCATTTCCAAATCAAATTGTTTAAATTTTGGGTGTGGAGTAAAGATGATTGGAATAATCAATTTTACCTATTGTCAAGGATTTTGTAATGCCCGTCTCCTATCCGAAACTTTTTATCGTGACCAAAATCAAATTGTTTAATTTATTAAAACTTTTTTATTTCGTAGAGTAACAATCTGGCACTATCAATTTCAAACTACTACCAATGGTATGGTAAATCTGGTCTACTACTCAAATCGTTTTAAGCAAGTTGTTTAAAAAATTCCCCATTTCAAAGCGCCATCTTGCAATAAAATTATTGACTCCGCCCCCCCCCCCTTCCATAAAGTATAAAAACCATTTTCATATTTTTTGGTTATAAAATAAAAGACGTTAATTACCTTTATTATAGAAATGATTTTTAGATAAAGATGATATTAATTATCATTAAATATTATTCATCTTTTCTAATTAATTTTAAAATATGCTTTAATATAATAAAATAATGCAGTTCCAAAATATATATAATTATAAAAAAAATCTAAAGAAAAATCTAGAGAAAAATAGGATAAATCTGAGTTCTTTCCAGAGAGCAATCTTTGCTGTTTACTTGTTAATCAGTCTATGTAGTATATACGGTATTAAAAATCTATGTTGAAACTAAATAAAATCATTTATGTCATAAATTTAGTATATACATGTAAATTTTACATATTATATTTTCTTTAAACCTCTTAGAATTCCATTTCCATGTTGGGGTTCCATAAAGCCTGGGAAAATGACATGATATAATCACCTTTTTTCCCAATGGAATAATTATTTTACCTTCCCCGTTGGTCATCAATTCATCCCTCTCGGCGTAAACCGATATTTCTGGAGGAGAAGGGAAAACTTTGAATTTATTGTATAAATTGGATAAAAAAATATAAATGATTTGCATAAATTGCAGATTATTTAATATAACCTATTTAAAAAATTACAGGCTCCTGTTAAAAATCCCGATTTGGGTCGAATTTTTAAAACAACCCGATTAAGATTTTAACTAAAATAATATTATGTTAGCATCGAGATTTGGCAAATAGATGTCCAAGCATTTCTGCCAGCTATGAGCAAAATCTTTAGTCTTATATAGCGTTATTTTAATTATAATCTTAATCGGGCCGTTTTTTAAAATCGAGCCGAATCGGGCTTTTTAACAACATTACCGATAGTTCTTATTTTTCGGGTGATTGAAAAAAACATTTAACCCAAAATAAAATATTTTAGGCGTGCTCATGTTACAGATGTTCTAAGCATTTCTACCCCTCCTAAACGATTCCAATCTTGAACTATAAATATGATGTATAAAATATTTCCACGTCCATTTATATATTATATAATTACACATTTTTTGTTGGGATATTTATCTAATTAATTAAACATATTTTCTAGATGCTGCAACGGGCGAGTTAAAATTTTAAAAATTGGGTTGAGCGAGAATGTTAAAAATATTTTTAAACAATGGGGAAGCAGGAGGACGGGTTAATACAAAATATTTTTTGCGTGAAATGAGCGTATTAAATTTATTTAAAAAAAAATTATTTCTAATTTTTATAATATTACTTATTTTGCAAGTTTAAGTAAAAACTACGAGAAAATAAAATAAATCAAAAGTGAAATCAAATAATTTTTAAACATTTGGAAAGTTGAGTTAAACAAAATTTTTAGATCAATGGTAAGGCAGGTAAAACATTTTAAATTAACGGTTTTAATTTTTTTAAAACAATGGATGGACGGGCTCTTGGGTTAAAAACCAACACATTGACGACTTCCAGACTCTTCTCATTTATTAAAAAAAAGGTGGAGAAACCTAACTCTACCCATATTTTTTACAACAGTAAAACAAATAATCTTTTGCAACAATAATAGTACCTATTGCGTTATAACCCAATAGAGGTTTTACAGTGATATTTTCTATACAAGTAATTACATGTTTCAGTAGGATATTTTCTCAAATCAAGACATCTAGGCATTTGTTCACGGAGAGTTGGTTTCCAGATCCCGTTCCAACATCTCAAATATTTTGAGCCACTAAACAAGTATTGACCTACATCAAGGCACTTCACATATATCATTGTGTTATGTGGAATATCAGACGAAATCTTGACATTTGTATTGTTTAAGTATGATATGATAGAGGAATTTCTGCTGAAACTAGAACAATTCTTTAAGTCTAGATGTTCAATAAAACGAAATATATTATATTAATCATATAATAGTGAAATATAATTTTGTTAACCTTATTAGAATTATACGAATGTTACTATTTATCCTCTTTTCAGGGAACCTTATTACTTCTTAACAACTTATTTCTTCTAAACAACCTTCAAATAATTAAGATAATCAAGCAATAAACCCAGCTTGAGATAGGGGAGGACTAGTAAATCAAGGTTCCCGTGGGACCTATTAATCAGAGGCCCCTAACTTAGGAAAATTCTCCACCAATTCCACTTTTATCCTTCGCGAGAAACATAATACTAATTCATATAAATTTATATTCAAAAGAGTGTTATCTTTAAAGTTATAGTTACAAAAACAATTATTTAACATAATTATTGATATTATTTTTTAACATTTTGTTTACTGAATATTAAGAGATATAATTAAAAATGCCATTTAACAATACTATATTTAGCTAATAAATTTCGCATCTCATTATATACAAATATGTACAAAATTAATGCGTATATAGATTAAACATTAACACATTTTGAATTAAAAAGAAAATTTAACCAGGCGAATGAAAAAAAATATAGAAAGCATCATCTCGTATCCAATTATGATCCTTATTAAGGGATCATTAAAAAAGCAAGATGATAACTGAAAGACTTAAAAGTTTCTTACTTACTATACTCTAAAGGAATATTTTATAACCTTAACTAAAAACAATAAGAAAAAAATGAATATCCAAGATAATAATATCTAGCCACTATGTATACCGCCTGTCTAAAAAAACGTTGCCTTTTGAAATTTTTTCATCTCTAAAATGTATCTCATGTTTTTATCAAATTTTATATTTTATTAAAGAATATTTAATGTCCTAAAAATTTTTTAGAATTCGATCGAGTCTTTTTTTTTTAGAAAAGTGAAATAAACCAATTGCTAAAATTTGACAAAAAATAACTCAAGACCCCAAATTTTTTTTTTAAAAAGGCTAGATAAGTTCTCATAATGTTGGACTATAGTCGGAAGCTTGCTTTTTTTTAAATAATTTCCCATAGTCATAAATTATAAGCCGAAATATTAGGATATGAAACAAATTTGATTATTAATCGCCTTTTATTAATACGCCCCCAAAGCAAACGATTTATATTAGAAATGCTATCAAAAGAAAATCTTATACTGATAAAATTATGCCGTGAGAATAAAAAATGAAACGCACAAAGTTGTTTCCTGAACTTTCTAAGAAAAGTTGAACATTCGTGCACTTGAAAGAGCTTTATAGCGACTTCGAGATACGGGTTTCATATAGCAAAAACAAGTCCCCTTATATAAATACCGTATTATCAAGTGTGGGAACGCAGTGGCGTCACTAGCCTTTATAAGGGTTCAAAAAAAAATTTCTTTTACTTATTTTTTTAGATTTCAAATTGTATTTTCATTTTTATCTAACAATTTAAAATTTTCAGAGGGCTCTTCAAATTTTTCAGAGGGAAAGTGCCCCTGTGCGCTCCCCCCCCCCCCACCTAGTGACGCCACTGATCAAATAAAATAAAGACTTTAGTCTACAAAAATAGGTCAAACATTTTGGTTCTTTAGAAAGTCCGATTATAGTCCCACATAATGGAAACCTATCCAGCCCTTTTTTTGAAAAAAAGTGTGTCTAGTTATTTTTTTTAATCAAATTTTAGATTCATATTTTCAGAAAAAACGGCTCGATTAGTTTCTAAAAAGTTTTGAGGATATTAAGTTCAATATATTCTATAATAAAATATAAAATCTCACTAGAAATGAGCAACGCATCTTAGTTATAAAAATTTCAAAATTTTATATTATTTTTTGGCCACCCCTTATATAATCATGAAAGTGTTTTTAATAGCAATGATAAATGGTGGATTTAGTTAAAAACATGGATAGGAGTATAGATGGATAATGGCTAAATGTCTGCTAATTCGGCTCAATCTTCAGGCGATTGCTGAATCTGTTAACATTCAGGTGTTTTAATTTATATTAGTTTCCTTCAAATTTGAGCTGATATCTTTTTAGTAAAACCATGAAGCCAATGTTTTGGCTTTAGCCGATTTTTTACCCGGCTAAAAATTGGCTTAAACGGCTAAAAATATAGTAATTACCTAACCATAGATAGGAGCTAGGGGAAAAATAGTGGTAGAAAATGATGAGAACAGCAAAGATGAAGAGTAACTCTATTATCGAGAGCTAATATAAAATAAAAAGTGTCAGATTGTAATCCCAATTACACTTGGATCTTTATGAAAATTTAAAGTTTCAATGATGGCAATTATTTAGAAATTTCAAAATAGTTAAACAATTTAGACATATCCCCAATTTAACTTTTATACCATATGTGTTTGGAAGAAGAATAATTTTTTTATATATTCATTCAGAAGCTGCATAAATGAATATTTAATAAAAAAATTTCTTATATGCTTTTACCAAATAATTTGTATGGAAAAACTCAAAATCTGCGGATACAATTCGAAGTATGAATATACGTCCGAACTGTTACGATGCCATTATGGATACCTCTGCTTATATAAATTTCTAATTCAGAAATATTGCGCATATAACAGAATAACGTCAACTTAAATATTTTCAAATAAATCACGTTCAACATTAATAAAAATACCTCCAGATCCAATAATCAAGGCATTATAAATTCTCACACAAAAGTTATTTTTCCATTCTCATATATGGATGATTTTTATTCAAGTCCGTTTTACCTGCACTCTTTTTAAATTATTTAAAAGAAAACATAGAACTTATGTTATTAGCTCATGATTTTTTGGAAATTGTTTACTAAAACTCCCAATAACTTGATCTTTAATATCTCAAAATATTTAAATCCTGTTCAATAGTATAAGTTGAACCTTCATTTAAACATTCATCAAAATACACTTCCTTCTTGCAGCCTACCCTTTGGAAATATTACTCTTTCTATGCAAATGGTATCTGGTAAACTCATTTCAGACAATTGATTAAATGTTAATGACATTTTTTACAGCTTCTGAAACTATGTATAAAAATTGAATAGAGATACATGATTAACATATTAATTATCAACCAGTTATTTAATATATCTAAATGTTTGTATAGATATCATTTTTCTGGTATTCGTACAGAAAATTTATATATGAGGAAATTAATGGATTAGGGCAAAGACAGCACATTTCTAAAATAAGTTGTATTGCACTGAATACTTGTTGAGTAAAATTAATAGTTAATTTATTATAGTTATAGTTACTTTGATCTTGGGCAGTAGAAATAAAAAGACAGGCACTTTTATCTCCATAAATGTAAATGAGTTTAAAGGAAATAAATTATATTAATGAATGGTAATTTGATATTTATAATAAGCAAGTCAATGAAATAACTAGCATTTAAATTCACTTATTTAATATATAATTATTCTCAAATATTTTAATAAAAAAATAACTAGCTAGTCCTTTTAATATATCTTTTGAACCTCCAAGTAGCCCCCAACTACAAGATATTTTGTTGTGGACCCCAGAGGGGCTTTTCGGGTGCCCCAAAATCTACATTTTTAAGGGGCTACGTTGGACTCGTCATACTAATATATGTGGCCAGCCGTTTCTAATTGAGATTGAGATATAATATATTTTATAAAAATATTACAACTAAGGTATCTCACCACAATAGCTCGAATCAATAACGTCAGTCCAATTTCCTTTAACGCAAGTGGATTTCCAAGATTTAAAGGATCCCATTGTGCAAGAATACTCAATTTCCGTGCCTTCAAGGAAAAGATCTAGATTATCCTTTGATTCCCTCGTTATAGAAGAAATTTTAAAGGTTGCATTGTCAAAAATTGAATTAGGTCGACAGTCATTTGCTAATAAGTTAATTTTATTATTTGTTTTTGTTGTTAATTCTAAGAATTTTTCTATAATATAACTAGTCAATTATTCGTGATATGAATCAATAAATTCAGTTATTTTTTTTTGTTCTAAATCTAAGATGTATTAATTTTTGTTTATGTGCTTGGTTTATAATAATATAATTCTAATTGATATGTATGTATTCATAATATTTGCTAAATCATTTTATATTCAATATAGAATATAAAATATATTTCTGACTTTTTATCTTATTGCACAATGGAATGGGCAGCGTCCACAAGCCCTTTTCATTGCATTCAGAATGCTTTGTTCCAATCAATGTATATCCATTCCAACAATTGTATTCTATTTTTATTCCGCTTACATATATATTAGGGTAACTGTCTTTTCTATCGTTGTACTTAACTTGATATCCACCGTTTTTAGGAACGTGAGGTGGCATACATCTTACTATTAGTAAAATATTTTTTAAAAAATTTATTCTTTTATTTGCAATAATTATATTTGGCTAAAATCTTGCCGACTAAAAATTGTGCATTGGAGCATTAATTATAGAGGGGTTAAAACAACCAATTTCATGCAGATTTTTAAATTTTATTATTGGTTTAAACCGGCATCAATTACATGATAATTTATTCAATAATGATAATAATAGGTCTATAAAAATAATTCATGTGTTTATTTTATAAAATTGAACCTAAGAGACATGATGGAGGCTCAGGTTTCCATATACCATATGTGCAGGTTATAAAAGATTTCCCCATCAATTTGTGTCCAAAAGGGCAAGAGAATTCCAAAACCGTCCCATGAGGAAATTTATTCCTATGGTTAAGAGGAAATTTTAAATTAGATGAGTTTGCCAGCGAGCATGGTTCTGATGAATAAAATTTTCACAAATATTGTTTTTAATAATATTGTTCATTTTTCTTAAAACAAATAAATATCCTTTTCGTAGGCCTATATTACCTTACCATTAACTTTAAATGTCATAGGAGTATGGTTAAAGTTTGCACTTAATATTGTGTTATATAACCATGGACTCAATCAGAGTTGTTATAATTTTTCCAAAAAACAAACAGAAAAAGGTAAGGTAATTTATTAAAATATACTTATAATACTAATAGAGAGCAGTGTTGCTGCACTGGAGAAATGGGGGGGAGGAGTTAAACCCCTTAAAATTTTGGGTAAGTCCAATAAAAAAAGGTAGCGACACCATTGATATTAACTGGCTTAACCTATTGACAATATATGACATTTACGCAGATCTCACGGTGAGGGGGGAGGGGGAGAGAATATATTCTGCAGATTTATTTAGGGGCCAAATTACAAATAATGGTGAGCGGTGTATATGATTTCCGTGGAAGAGGGAGAAAAGGAAATTTTGTGGTATAAGCTTCTGCCTATTGAGGAGTTAATTCTAGAATATTGTCAGCATTAAAATAAAATACAGTATTGTATGGTTTTTTTATTAAAAAATATCTATCGTGTAACTATTAAAAAGTCTTATAAAATACACCTCAAAAGTTGTACCATTAGAATAAGCCAACAAAGTTTCGAAAAGTAGAAGAGAGGTGGATTTCTTACTATCCTAAATAAATATATTGATCATTTACCTTTATCACAACTTCGGGGCTTTGATTTGCCATGCAAACACAAATTTTTTTGATCTAATTTCATGTTGTGACTTTTAGAGCAGTTCAAATTAATAAATTTATTATGCTTTATTATATCTTTTGAATAGTGTAATTTAGATGAGTTTTTCATTTCGTCACTTTGTGGTAATGTGCATGAAGCTTTTAGGGATTTGTTTTTATTGTTTTAAGATTACGGTGAATAATTAAACAAGATTTGTGAAAGTTAGAAATTTTCAAATTTTAAATTATATTTAAATAATAAGTCAATTATAAAGGTTATTAAGATGATATAACTCAAAAATATTAGATTAGAATAAATGGTAACTTGAAACCTTCCAAACATTTCATATCTTGAATAGAAGGATTCCAGCCGGTTAGAATACACGAAAAGATTGTGAACGCTGTTGAGGGATTATAACCATCGTTACAGATCACACTTATCAAATCTCCGTGATCTATCTTATAGTCATTGAACACTATGTTACCATTGAAGAAAACGATTCCATTCTTAACAATAGGTACAACGCAAGGTTCTAAATATGAATATTTCAATAATTTTTTATTTTAGCTAAATTAGTAACCTGACAAATGGACGTTCGAAATGCTACTACATCTATGAAGTCGGAGGCCAAAATTTTGAAAATGTTCTTATGGCTGATAAATGGGCTAGTTTATTAAGTCGTTTTTCTTCATATAAAATTATTATGGGCCGAGCCGGACAAATTGTACAAAATGTACAACAGGGACCAGATAGGCAGTTCCAAAAAACCTGATGTAAAATTTCCGAGAGTCGGTGGCTGCGTCGACTTATAATCTATATAACTCTATTTTAATAACTAATGAATAGCCACCATTAGTTTTCCAGTTAGCTAGATAAGCTCAAATAGAGAAAAACGAAGGAATTGGATAAATATTTTATCCAAAAATATTCTAGCCATAAATAATAGTTTGAAGGGACAATTATACTGCCGTTTGTATATTATAGGGTTCTACCTCCAATTTCATATATTTTATAAGGGAACGGTTTTAAGAACCAACATTTAATCTGATTAACATTAAAATAACTCTTAAATAAAAAACGTTCTCAACGTTAATTTTTGAGGATTTTTAATCTTTTTAAAATAAAAAAAACACTTGAATATTTAAAAGAATATAATTCAAAAATAAAATAAACTCGGTATGCAGGTTGGCCAGCCAGGTACCCATTTTCCTTTGATACATCTGACCATAGAGGAATTTAAACTCATCTGAAATCTATCATCTATACATGTCACTTCGACAATAGTGCCTTCGGTTCTGAAATGGTTAGCTAATGATTTGGTTTCAATTAAAGCTACGTAATCCTGAGATGGGTCGTTGTTAAAATTTTCAAAATGAGACAAATCGGGTGGTAGCAGAAAATGATTACCAGCTATCGTATTTATCTCTTTCAAGCTAAGGCTATCGCTATAACGCAAATTTCTTTTATTGTCTCCACTACGGAATATTTTAACCCTTTGGCGGTAATCCGATAGTATTTGAGGACACATGTCTTATGGAAAAAAAATATTTTAAGAAATTATGCCAAATAAAATAAACTTGTATTTTTTACAGTCCACCTTATTCCTATTTCTTAATTAAAAGCATCGAACATTTATCCAATTTATGAAAAACCTGAACTACAGATAGGTTTGTTAGGAGGGTTCCATTTACCATCGATACAGGTAGCACCACTGGGACCATAACTTATATAATAATTTTTGTCACATTTATAAGCTATTTGACGTCCGTGTTGAACGTTTGTTATATACTCTCGGTAATTATATTCCCCGAAAGAACCAACTAAGAAAACCTGACCGTTAGTTAGCAAGCCTGGAAATTGACATACAACTTAAAAAAGAAGTATATATTTAATTAATAATTTTACTATATTTTTGTTCCTGAAGGAACTTTATAATTGAAGACCTAGATAAATTATACTCGGTTCCAACATTTAAAATAAAATAGAAAATTTGATTATAAACACTGGGAATGGAGTTGCCTTGGCTAAGCGTAGTAGCGGGCGACAACTCCGCTAGTAAATTTATAAGTTTTCTTAAATACCTTCTAAACCAATAAAAGATATTTCCAAACGTATCCCAAAATATTTCTTACCTTTTAAATTATAAAAAATATTGGTAAAAATGCCTTTATAATAAGAATTATAAGAAAAAACATATCTTAGTTGTCTCATTTAAACATGGATTAAATTTCAGGTATAACAAATGGCACTTTAACTAGTATGCTCATTACGTTGGTATTATATAACCTTATGGGTTTAATTAAATATTTATTTTAAAGTGCCTTTTTCTAGATATTTATGGCAATAATTTTGAATTACTATTTGAACATTGAGGTAAAGGTCCACTCCATTGCCCGAATTTGCATACCATTCTTTCGAAGGAAACGATTTTGTAACCTGGATCGCAAATAAATTTTGCCGCTGAACCATGTTTAGACCTGATCACAATAGACCTACCATTTTTTATCCTTGGTGGTAAATCCATGCAATCCTCTTTAAAAAATTTTAAAATTTTGTGTAAGTTTATTCTAGTTTTTATATATGGTTTAAAAAAGAAGTAATAATTAAGGTGTATAAAACAATAATTCTATAACAGATAAAAGTTTGATACATTCTATGGGGTTTTAAGAATTAAACTTATTAAAGAATAAATTTCTTACTAGGTAAGTAGATTTTCAAGTCAAAAGAGGAAGCGAAATAGAAACTGAAAAACGTTACAAGGACGTCCTAAGCCCGATATAAGAGTGGAAGTTAATTTTTTTACTTGTTTATATTTTATCTTAATTGAAGTTATCAATAATTTACATTGTAAACTGGAAGTGAATCATTTAAATTGTGTAAAAAATCATTTTAACAGAATAAGTTTTAACATCTTGCAAGTTTGAAATGCATTAAAGTTTAAAGTCATAATTAATTTTTGATATACATTTCATGTCTAGGCAAAATGATATATAGTATATAAAGAAATCTCTTATATCCGAATTATTTGCATAAGCAGGGCCGTGCGAAGTGGATGGCAATAGCCTAACCCGCAAAATATTTTAAATCTTAAGAGCAGTCAAATTTAAAAAAAATATTTAGAATCTAAACTGATTAATAACTAGTAATATTAAAATAAGGAATAAAAATATTTAAATTTTAATTATAAAGACCATTTATTTTTTATTATGGGAATTTCTTTATACGTTTAGAAGTTTTTTAAATCCATTACATTTATAAAAACTTTGATTTGAAAAACATTCTAATTCAACATTTTTAATTCAATGTTATCTAGTATATTCTTCTCTTCTAGTTCAACTTTATTTTACATTATATTTACTATACTTAAACATTCGCAAAATAAAATTTGGGAGGATTATTAAATTTATTCTTGTAAAAGATTGCACTAAGATCATTCAGGTCTAAATTTTGAAAATGAATTAACAAATATGTTTACGCCTTGAGGTGACCTTAACTTGTTACTTGGTGACATGGCACAATCATCGGTTGTTACAAATTTATTTTTGGCATTGTGAAGCTTATATATTATATTTTCTGCTTCTCCTCATTAAGTATTGTCAAAAATCTAGATATAGTCTTAAAAAAATTATAAAAGAGTATACCAATAATTTCACAATGAACCAATTAGCGTAAGAATGGGAATAAAAAATTTGAAGGAAGAAAAGCGATATGATACCAGGTTGGTAATATTTATTATTATCACATAGTAAATGTTTCGGAAACAACAAAAGATTCAAATAGAGGCGGTTTTTTTGTCCAGAGAATAGAGGATTTTGCGTTTTTGCTTATTCTGGTTATTTGGTATGATGTTCTGGTGTGAATCGTGTAATCAAGATTATGCAAAGTGACAGTATCGACTAAGCTTATAGAAATATTTTTTTTTTTAGATCGATAAGAAGAAGGATGTTGTAAGAATTCTTTAATCACAGCAAAAGAGATTGCTGATGAATTAAAGATGGATGAGAGATAAATACTTACTAACAATAACGTCAACTCGACGGAAGAAAACTTAAAAGCTGTTTTCTTATAAAGTTGAGAATGAATCTAATGATTTTGAGTAAAAATATCATATTGAGTTTTTCAATGTATTGCTCGATCAAAGCTATGACCGAACTTTCATCAGTTTAAGTATTTAAGAACTATTCTGGCCTCCTCGTCGATATACCTGCTATAATAGCATCTGGAGCCGATTTACGAATACATTAAATGTTTTGCTAAAAGGCCAAGATTCATTAGAAAATGTCATTAATAGATTATAAACACTCCTAAACAAATTTGAAGCTTTCCCAATTAGTAATAAGCTAGAGGAAGCGTTTCCTATAATTCTATCATTAAAAAAATTTATTGACAATTCTGATCATCATGGCTTCGGGTGATGGTAGTTTTTCCAAGATTAAATTAATGAAGAACTACATGAAGTCCTGCCTGGCTCAGGATTAGACATATCCTTAATTTGCATAGAAAATAATATTAGTACTTCTTTACATTGTGAAGATGAGATAATATATCAACATCCTATACAAACAAAAAACCAAGGATTAAAATTTATTTTGTAATTGCGAATTTTTGTAAAATAATATGTGATAAAACAATAAAGATTAATAGAAGATTATTCTTCTCTATTTTTTATAAAATATCGGAAAGATATTGATTTAAAGCTAGGCAACATTTTTAAATAGGCTTTAAAATATTTTTGCCCTGGCCGCCAAATATCTAAGCACGGTCATGAGTCTAAAGAAAGAATCTACGATTTTTTTATAAAACCTGTTGAAACCTGGTTCACATCTTATGACGGGTTCAAAGGATCCATTATTACACCTAGTAGTCATATTGATGTAAGGGGAAGTCTGTCTTACGCAGCTAAAGTTCATAGTGGTATTATGTGTTATCATATCTCCTAGTTTGAAATTAGGCACTGTAGCATAGTCGATCGAAGCGATAATGCAATTTTCTTAAATTATTTATAAAAGTCTATATAATATTTTATAAAGTCCTCCAAGGGCTAATCAGATTCCGATCCAACCAAACTCGGGTTCGTTTGGCTAGGACAGATTCTCTAGAATTTGGTCGAATCAGTCCTGAATTTTAACGATCTAATTTGGACGGGTAGACAAAATTTTAAATTATTTCTTTTCCCTCATTTTACCCAACGCTTAGAATTTATCGCTTTTGTTGAAATATCATACTTTTAAACAACCCAATAAAAAAAAATATAATCGGATCGAACTATGATCTTTTAAAGAAAAAACTCTGCGAGCATCGCTCGGTTTTTTCTCACCGGGATGATCATGTAAAAATGTAGGTTTCATGTCGGAAAGGCTCAAATTTAAATTTAAACTTGTTACAATTTTATTCTTAAACTTTAGTTTATGATCCTTTTTATCTAAAGTATAGTTATAAATTCTCATTCAATTTTTTTTGTAGCCTTGGAAATTCAAATGAATTTTTATCTTTCAGGCAGTGGCGTAGTCAGGATTTTTCAGGAAGAGAGGTAAAAAAAATATTTTAAGGGGGGGGGGGAGAGGGAGGCATTGCCCCTCAAACCCTGTTTTGGTCGGTCTTCAGCCGGGTTCCTCCTATAAAAAATTATTATATATTTTAATTTTTCGGTGGTCTTGATATAATCTCCATTAAAGTTGGTGAACAATTGGAAGCCCTAATTCTAAAATATGGCAATGTTTTGCGCTTTATTAGTGTCTAACTTTAAAAAGTATAGTAGCCAATATAAAGGAATAAATTTTTAGTAACAAAATTTTGGCCAACCTTAAGATTAAAAAGCGGCTGAGAGCATTTATTCTTTAAATTTAATCAATGTTTAGAGCAAAAAATAGAAAATTGCCAAAATAGTTATCGTGCTAAAATGGAAAATATAAAAAATTATATATCTGGCGTGGGCTATTAGTTAATACCTGACTAGAACTTTCAATAATTCTTTAATCAAATAAGCGAACCCTCAAAAAAGTTACAAACAAAATGGAAATTATGATGTTGGTAGCTGGTTTAAAGAGGAAAAAAACTATTGATAGAAAATAAAAATTGCTAAAATTAACATCATATCACTACGGAGTATAGAAGTTCCAACTATACTATCTGATTTGCGTTAATATTTAATGCTTTATTAATTCAATTCGCTAGCCATTAAAAAAGTAACCGAATTATTAAACAAAAACTAACCATAGGGGAGTCTGGGGTTAGTCGAACCAATTTTTACAAAATTGGCTATAACTCCTGTTTTTTATAGATAATATAAAAAATAATATATGAGTAGATACCTATAACTATACTCTATAAAGGTGCCTTATAAAAAATCTTAAGAATATAATCATTTTTTTTAAATTTTATTTTTTGTAAAAGTAAAAATTTTGTTCAACAAGCCCCAATAGCGGGGTAAGGCAAACCACTTCAAGGGGCTTCCTAAACCATTAGTTTTTTTAGGCCATAATAAATTGAAATGCATCTTTATTTATTAATAATGATATGTATAGAATAATTTTATTGTTTTATTATTTAAAATATCTAATACTTATAAATTGAAGCTAATTATATATAAAAATTGAAACTTAATTTTGGCTAATTTAATAAACATTTTGGACATAAAAAAATATAAATTTTAAGGTGAGATTAAGATTTCTTAGCATAAATCCTAAATACCAATCATAAAAAGCCATGAAATTGCCTTTTCAAGATTTTAAAATTTTTTTCATTATTAACTGCCATAATTGATGTGTATGGTTTAGCAAACCCTGTAAGCTCTAACTTGACAAATCATGATTGAAATAATATCTAGATTTGATAAATACTCATAAAACTTACCCAAATTATAGAAGAGTGTTTAAACTTTGCAATAAAATTTAATTTACATATAAATGATTTATATTTTAATAAAAATTAAAATTCCATCATGTAAAAATCTTTTGAAAATTTCATCAAAATTTTATTTCTAAAATAAAATTTTTAGTAATTAATTATTTCAAAATATTTTTTGTCCATAGATGTATACTAATGAAAACTATATTAGGATAAAATTTTAACCTTCTGGTGTATTTAATTTTAAAATGAGATACAGTGGTTTGTCAAGCTCCGGGGCTTACCTAACCCTAGTCTCCCCTATTGCTTAAGTGAAAAGTTAGACAAACCGTAGTCATTATCTCTGAAATTTATGTCAATAATTTTACATATTTTATGATTATTTAGTGTAGAATACTTTGTCGGGGTCGCCTGCAATCTGTCTCCTTTTATTGAAGGGATTTTTTCGGGGGTTAGGGGGGGGTCAACCCTAAAACCCCACCTTGTTGACGCCACTGCTTTTAGGTATTTAGTTATATATTCTTGAGGGATACAGAAATATTTATAATAAAAAATATATTTCATTGATAAGAACTCATGCATCGTGGTAGAGGGTGAGACCATTTTTCATTTAGCTGACATATCGCGGATTGAGAATCACCTATAAAAACCGATAGTTCAGAACACCAGTATATGACCACAGCACCCCATTTAGTTGAATTTAATTCAAGAAAACCGTTGTATAAATCACCTGGATAACCACAATCAACCGCTTTATAAAAAAAATAAAATTTAATCTGTGTAAATACTAATTATGATAAACTACACCCAATATTATATAATTTAAAAACATTTCATAAAACGGCTGAACTATAAAGCTACTAAATATTTTACTCACCGTGAACATCTTAATCTATAAATTCATTTCAGCTGTATAAATTTAAGTTCATTAACAATATATTGGTAATAAATAACCATTTTAATAATAAAAGGTAGGTCTATTCAAACGTATCAAAACGAATTCAAAACTCATGTCGGATAATTCAATTCAAATCAAATTGAATATAAATAGTAAATTATTCTTTTTATTTGAATATAAATAATTAATAGTTATTCGATTCAAATAAATCACATTATTCGAATAATTCTCTAATCACAAACCAATTTTCAATTTTATCACAAATTTTATTCGAAAATCAATATTTCCAATAAGTTTATTTTGGTTACATGTCAATACCGCGAAAATTTTAGTAGCGAATGTATTATAGCGAATGAATTATCGCGAATACATTATAGCGAATGCATTATAGCGAATGCATTATAGCGAATGCATTATAGCGAATGCATTATAGCGAATGCATTATAGCGATTGCATTATAGAATGCATTATCGAATGCATTTTAGGGAATGAATTATCGCGAATGCATTATAGCGAATGCATTATCATATCGCGAATGGAGTTTCATGAAAGTTACAATTTTATATTTATCGACTTTTCGACTGACTTAGTTGAATCTGAAAATTAAGTTAAAATGAGAATTGGCTCTAAAAACATTTTTTTATTGAAATTAAGGCTAAGGGCTTTTCTTTTTTTTGACTCAAAATATATAAAAAAGATTCTAAGTAATAAAATCGATTTCTCTTTTTCATCTAATCATTTTAAATATTAAACATTAAGTTTTTTCTTTTTAATTTATTGAAAACTTGTAGGGGAGAACGGGGTTATGGCGAACCCTAAAGGCAAACCTTAAGAAAATTATAAGTACTTTATCATTTTTAATAAAAAATATCTCATTTTGTTCAGCTCTATTAGATTTATGATATGTTTAAATTTCAAAAATACATCTCTAATAATTTTTTCAAAATATCATTTTTCCTGAAATTTTTTTTGGTAACCGAGTGAACCCTACCCGGGGACGAACAAGCCCTTGGTCGAGGCTATTATAAACTCTGCTTAATTTTCCATATATAAAAGTTATATATTTTTTTATTAGGATATATTTAATGATTTAAAACATAAAAGTGTTATATAAAATCATTTAAAACATTCACAATCTTTGCAAATAAATAAACAATAAAATTGCAAAGCCATTTAACTAATAACTGACATTGAAAGCAGTCTTGATTGTTATGCTTGATATAATTTATTTGTATACCAAACAATTATTTATCATATAATAACATTTTTCGATTTTTTTTCTTTTAGTTGGCTCCTTGGCTTTTTTTGCATGTCAAATTTTTAAAAATAGCAAAAAAAAAAGGTTCGACCTAACCCCATAAAAATAGCCCCAGTAGCACCACTTTGATTAAGATCATATTTTGAAGTATTTATATTATCAATTTTGTTCGGGTAAATTGTTATTCTATAAAATAGGATTTTTTCTTTTATATAAGATGATTTTTGTGTGGTAAAAATGTATATTAATCTTTATTTTTGAAAAATAGTAAAAGTGTAAAAAGTTACTTTTGAAGGTACGAATGATATAAAGCATTATAAAAATTCTTCAAGCGGTCCGATAGAAATAAAAATTATAGCCGCATATGCAATAAATATATAATTGGCTCTAAAAACATTTTTTTATTGAAATTAAGGCTAAGGCTTTTCTTTTTTTGACTCAAAATATATAAAAAAGATTCTAAGTAATAAAATAGATTTCTCTTTTTCATCTAATCATTTTAAATATATAAACATCAAGTTTTTTCTTTTTAATTTATTGAAAACTTGTAGGGGAGAACGGGGTTATGGCGAACCCTAAAGGCAAACCTTAAGAAAATTATAGTACTTTATCATTTTTAATAAAAAATATCTCATTTTGTTCAGCTCTATTAGTTTTATGATATGTATTAATAATTTTGACGATTACAAAAGATTTAATAAGATAGAGGTCTCAATCCAATGTTCCCCTTCATCTAATCTTATTTAAAAAATTTTAAAAATTATCAACATATTTTTTTAGCGCTGGAAAGGGTTAATCATATCAGTAACTAGGGGCTAGTAGAATTAGGTCGAATTAATTATATTATGCTTAAAAATATGATATAATAAATATTCATTGGCTATTATAGCTTTAAATTCTATTTTTTTCCCTTTAACTTTCACCTTTTCTGGTGGTTGATAATCAAAAGAATTAGAAAAAAAATTAAAAAATTAATTAAAACTTAAACATTTTTTAAAATAAAATATCACATTTTGAAATTTTTTATGAATTATTTATATACAAATGGTGTATTATTGATAATAACAATTATCCTATAGGAGACTTAATAAACCAATATAATCTACAAGCCTGGGGTTTGGGGCTTGTTGGGGCAAAAATTAACTTTTACTAGAATCAATCTTAAAATATAAAATATTAAAATATTTATTAATAGGGTCTTTTGTAAAAATACGACTAAATCTAATTGTTAAAAAAATTGAGTATACCAAATTCCACAAATAAAATACGAATTTCATAAATAACAAGTGACGTGTTTTAGAGGTAAATAATTTTAAAACGCTACTTTAAATAAATATAGACAATTAAGATGGTTCTCTGGTTTTTTGGAACTTAATAAATGGGTTAAATATAATTTTGTCAAATATAAATCACTATTGCATTGTGATAATGTTAGTTGTAATGCATTCGCGATATTGCATTCGCTATGATGCATTCGCGATAATGCATTCGCTGTAATGTATTCACTCTAATACATTCGCTATGATACATTCGCGATAATACATTCGCTGTAATGCATTCCTATAATGTTTTCGAGGTAATGCATTCGCTATAATGCATTCGCTATAATGCATTCGCGCTAATATATTCGCTATAATACATTCGCTATGATGCATTCGCGATAATGCATTCGCGGTATTACATTCGCTATAATGTTTTCGCGGTAATGCATTTGCTATAATGCATTCGCGCTAATATATTCGCTATAATACATTCGCTATGATGCATTCGCGATAATGCATTCGCGGTAATGCATTCGCGGTATTACATTCGCTGTAATGCATTCGCTGCTAATGCATTCGCTATGATACATTCGCGGTAATGCATTCGCTATAATGCATTTGCGCTAATATATTCGCTATGATACATTCGCTATGCGGTAATGCATTCGCTATAATATCTTTTAGCGGTATTCGACATTCGCGATAATACATTTCGCGGTATTGACGTGATACGTTTATATTTTATGCTAATCATAAAATTTAGTGTAATTATGGTTAGATAATGAATGATATATTATTTGACCTTGATAATAGTACAGCTTGTGAAAAGACTTTGCAATCATTGCAAAATATCATCTTATCAATCATAATTGTATTAATCATTTTATGGTTTGTAATAATAAATTTATTTTGTGATTTATGACAATTGTCAATCATTATCATGTTATATTAAATTGGAAAAATTTATTGATATATGGTACTAGCTTTTATTGTGTTTAATGAACTTCATTATATATAATTTATGTTAAACTGGAGGTTTAAAACACGTTTAATTGAACATATCCGAAACATCCTCTACATGAGCGGAGGGGGGGGGGGTAGTAACAGTTTGCACTCAAATATTATAAAAGGGGTTGGAGGTAGAGTAAAATTATTTAGAGTGTTATCTATTACATTTTTTAATGACTTATAGATAATATATTGCTATAATTTATATAATTTAATTATAAACTTATTATAATATAAATAGAGCGCTAAATATCGATCAATATTATATACATTCATTATTTTTCAAAAAAAAAACTTATTTCTGGATAATTTCCTGCTTTCTTTTTAATGTAATTTAAAATGGTTAGAAATTCTATTAGCTAACACATATTCATGCCAAACAATATGCTATAATAATATGGCATTCATTGTAGATTTTTAATTTAATTCATTTTCTAAAAAATAACTCTTTTACAGTTACAATAATTTGAATTATTCTTTATAAAATATATAAAGGAAGTACCATTAAAAAACGTGTAATTAATAATCTCGAGAAATTTGAAGGGTAGGTATAGGTTTCTAAGATGGATTTTTTCCACTGAATATTCTGTCATGTAAACACTAGATCGAATGCAAGAAAAAAAATTGAAAATTTAACAACTGAAGAGGAAACATAATGAAAAACGGAAACCACGAGGATTAGCAGTTCAAACAGTGTGGATTCATAACGTGTTATATTGAGGATGGTGGGAAAGAATGTAGAAAACTCCAGGAAATCGAATAATAAGGGAATATGCTAACCAACTGAGGGAGAATAGGGTCACAGAGAAGATAAGGATGGAGCAAAAGTAATAACATTAGAATCAGCAGAATCTAAATATCTGATGAAGACGCCATTTAACTTGAAGTGAAAACATCACCTCAAGTTACCATAAGGGAAAGTTAGCGGTAATACTCAAAGACGTTGCCCCAATAGGTCAAGGTCAAGGAAATTCACGAAAAGATTAATTCAAGAATTTTGAATTCGAATATAAGGAAATGCAAATTTTATGTAATAAATATATTTCATGATATATAGCAATGTCAATCATTATCAAGTTTTATATTAAATGAGAATTTTTTTTTATTAAATTAGAAAACTATAGTACTAGCGTCTATTGTGTTTAATGATACGTCCTTTAAAGGGTGGTGGATGCCCACTTAATTGTGGAATTGTCCTCCCAGTTAATGATAAGATATAGTGGGTTTATTGAATCTTATTGTTATTGTTATTTATGTGAAATTAATTTTATTAAAATATTAAGTTCCATTAGCACTTAAATAAAAAGAGTTGCAGTATAAAATTATTTTGAAACTCAAATTATCAACTTTTATTTATATTTAAAGAGAACTTGCTAAAACTCTTTATAAATAAAAACATATTATATCATATGAAACTGTAAATTCAAAGGATTTTGATTTATCGTTAAAATCAATATATTCCAAAACTCTTACATTGTATAGCATAAAACATTTTCAGAAAAAGAACAGTTGCTACAGAAAATAATATCCAAAATATAATAGTCGGATAAATTTTTCATCTGATATGACTAACTCAATTCAGGTTCCCTACCCTATAATGCACTGTTCAATTTGTATTCGTTTTAGAATCATAAGAAATTATATATATATATACACACACACACCTATGCAAATGGGAGGGTCAGGTATCCATATGCCATTTTCATCGCAACGTCTGTCTTTCGTACCGATTAATTTGAAGCCTCTGTCACATTCATAATGTAGCATGTCACCAAAATTTAACCCATTGCTTAGGACTTTACCATTCGGAAAATGTTGAATATCTTGGCACCTGACAACTTATATAAATATAACAGTTATATTTTTTAATTGAAAATTCCTAAAATATAATTATATATAAAATGAAAATTTAAAGAAAATTAATTAATTTAGAACCAATCTGAGTTCGTCTATTAAATATAATAATAAAATGCAAAATACTCAAATCATGTTTTATAATTCTATATTCAGCCTCGATAAAAAAAATCTACCATGTATAAATATCTCATCGCACATAATTTTTGTAATTAAAAAACCAAATGAAAGTTAACTTATTTAAATGAGCTTCGTGAACTATATAATTCAGGGCCCGTTTTGGGCTCAAAAAATGTATTTTTTTTTAAATATAAATAAAAAATAAGGTTTTTTCTTATTTTCTTATTATTCAAATAAAACACCTCAAATATAAATAAAAATTTGGGCAGGTCTTGAGTCTAAAAATAAATAGAGGTTTTTGGCAGGATTTACAATTAATAAAAAGTTGGACCGAGCACGGACTAAAAATAAATTGAATTAACAGGGCGTTATTTTGTAACATAGCTAGAAACATCCCTAGATATACAGGAATAAAAAAATGATTGTATTTATTGATAAAATCTTTTATATTTGCGATAAATAAACAAATATATAACTATTTAACTATATAAATCATTTTTTTTATTAAAAATAATATTTTATATTCTCTTTGAATGGCAATTTCATAAATTTTCAAAATAAAAATATGAATAATGAGACGATAGCAATAAAACAACCAATCCCAAAATTGCCTGATCAATATATTATACACTATACTATATTATATATAAGTTTTAAAATTGAAATGTTAAAATTTATCTGAATTAATAGTTAGAAAAAGAGAAATATTTTTTTTAATATTTAAACAAAAATATGTCAAAATGAGACAAATTAATTGTTCTTTTTAAAAAACATTACTTCTGCATTGTGGTTCATTCCCTGACCATTTCCCATTAGATTGACATTCCCTAAACTCTTCCCCGTATAGTTCGTAGCCAGGTAAACAAGCATAATAAACCTTGTGGGGATATTTGAAGTCATTACCTCTCAATTGACCATTAGTTAACAAGCCAGGGTGAACACAATTAACGGCTTTAAATAAATATTATAAACAAAAGAATTTTAAACGTATTTTAAATTTAAAAAAATAATAAATGCGACTTCAAATCATTCTTGAGTTAAGTATAAATGAAATAACCCTTTTTTCAGCATAACTAAATAAAATAAATGATATCTATCACCTTTAAGATAAAAGCTAATGATGCCACATCTTCATTGACAAAAGCCTCATTTTCATTCTTTAAGTAGAGAATCAAAGAAAGTATAAACATATATTTAAATATTATAATTATATTTTAGCAAATAGCGAGCACTTATTAATGGTACTGGCAATTTTTGGGCTTTGTTTTGGGTCGAATTTGATTTTAATTTTTTTACGCAGTTCATATATTTTAAAAAGGACCTTCAGATCAAGTCATTCTTAGGTAAACCCTGTTAGGCGGGACATTTTTTTAAAATTAAGGGTCGGATGGGGAGGGTAGGATTATCAAAAATTGGGCTTATTCATCAATCCCGATCCAATAGAAAGCCATATAGATTATTCAACTTTTAGAAATAAATCTTATATTCATATCTAACTCCAATGACAACGGATGGAAGAACACATTCATAAAAATAAATAACATACATGGAACCTTAAAGTATTATTTATAAAGACTATGACTTTTATAAGTAGTAAAAATAAAGGAAGTATTTTTATTGATAAAAAATTATTATTTTGAAGAGTTTTTCAAAAAAATGGTATGTAAAATTATTTAAAAAATATTCAGTTTTAAAATTTCCAGTTTTTTTACAAAATGATCCCCCCTCCCATTGGAAGTTTAAATATTGTACATTATTTTTTAAATGTTTTGTTATGTCTTTGCTAGCTATGTTATGCATTACAGTTATTAATAATCGGAAAGAATGTCTTGGGCATAAAGAGCCAGACAAAATGATACTGGATAAGAATGCCCATGGACAAAAATATATGCAAAATGCCTAAATTTTAATAATTATTATTTTAAATGCATAGAAAAATAGGAAAGTTTATAAAATTTATTACTTTCTTCCACACATAGGTGTCCAGTTTATGATGATGGGGTTCAAAATTGAATACTTTATGTATCTGCTTCGTTTGCTAATTACTAATCACTTTTATTAAAACTTTTTTATTATAAATTTTGTACATGTCTTCGCATAAATTTAAAAGAAAAATAAATAATATTTTAAAATAATTAATTTAGTATGAGACAGACTTTAAAAAGTGTAAAAAAATTCTCTTTTATCTATCATCTCAAAGGAAACAATATCCCATTACATTTTGAATAATTTAAATAAATTTTTGAAATGTTAATTTATAACTAAAATTTGACTAAGAAGAAAGACCTTGTGAAAAAGAAGAAAGATACAATTTTTGATTTAAAGATGTTTGTTCAGCTCGTAATCTCGTTAATGTTTTAATTCTAAACATAAATTTATTTTTAATAAATATAGAAAATAAATAAAATGAATATAAAATATAATCAGAAAACAAGATTCTTCTTATAACTTATTCCATTTTTCTTTTAGAATAAAAGAGAGTAAAAAATAAAATATAGTTTTTTAAAAGTTACACAAGAATCTTTTTCAAATTCTCGTTTTCAAATTAAATGGTAGTATTGAAAAAAATATATTATAAATTTAAAGAAAAAATAGAGGAGCCCGGGGCAGATTGGTCTACTTTCAAACTTCAATAAATTCAAATAATATAAAACTAATCTAAATATATAAAACACATTCCGAATCCTCAAATTACAGGCCATTTGAAATAGTTGTATATATTTTATAGAAACATAATTTTTTTAGATAATTTAATTTAGAAATTTCTTTTTGGATCTACGTTTCCGTATTCTGGGTACGTTAGTTCAATAATAGATGATAGTTGTTTCACAAAAGAAATAGTCTATATATAAAATAAAAATTTTTTAAAATTATTATTATAATATTAGTATATTAGGTTTAATATAATATCATAATACGCAATAATTAGGTAAATTTAGATAATTGGTTATTAAAATGTCAGTTAAAATTTTTTTAAAAAATAAAATAATATTTAAGATTTTTAGAAATTTTAAGAATTTTTGTAAATAAAATTATAATAAAAATATTATAATAAAAATTAATATTTTAGATTGATAAATATTCATTTAAAATATTTTTAATCAAAATTAAATATAAATGTGCAATAATTAATAGGATCAACTTACCTCAACCTCGAACCAACCATCATGCCTTCAAATTTTATAAAGGCCATTTAAAATCATATTAATTCATGTTTTATAATTCTGTTAAACTTTCTTTAAATCTACTTGGTAAGATTTTTGAAGTTACTTATAAAAAATGAAAAAGGTTGCAATTATATTTTTATATTTGATAAAACACATTTTCCCCTGTAAAATTAAAATGTTAAATATTTTTCGAATCTTTTTTATAGTCATTGATGTATGGGAATGGACATAAATATATATTTAATCTAAATTTCCATTCTTGTACAATAGTAGTTTAGATTATAAAGTGGGCTAACATTAACCCAATGTGTCACGGTTTCCTATACTATGCTTTGGAAATAATCACGATACAATATTATACTAAACAAAAAGGATATTAACTTTCTTTTCGAGATAAGATTAAACAATTTATTAATTATTTCCTTCCACTTCGTCAGTGTAAATGTAACTCGAGAGTGAAAAAATTTTCATTTATATATCTCTAAATAGTATAAATGGTAATAGAAACAAAAACCCCGAAAAAAATACTCCCGAAAAAAAACCCCCGGAAAATAAACCCCCAGGAAAAAAACACCCGGAAAAAAACCCCGGATTTTTTTTCTCATATTTATAGAATTTGTTACAAGAAGGAATTATCAATTCCAAATACGTCGAATTGAGCCTCGATTTCCTCCAGAAACTTGAAACGTGAATCAGAGCACTATATCCGACGAAGAACGCAGAAATAATCATTGCGAAGGTTGGAATCATCGTTTTTTAAATCTGGTTGGGAATAAACATCCATCAATTTGGGTAATGATTAAAAAATGAAATGCGAGGTGGCTACCAATGAAACCAAACTTCGATGGCGTGTAGTTAGTTGGACACCGAAAACAAAATCGAAGAGTTATAGTACCCATATTCGGTTAAAGAAACTTTGCGAGGAATACCTTGATGGGGTGCGAAGCCTTCCAGATTTTATAAGACTTTAATATTCGATGTCAATTAATATAATAATTATTCTAAATTATTAAATTTGTATACATATTCATGATTTACCAATAAAATGAATATATTTTATTATAAAATTTTGTCAAATTTAGTCTACTTAATATCGTTATTAAGGATGACTTCAGCATTTTATCTTGTTTAAGCATTTTTTTTATGAAGGGTATATGAGTAATCTTTAAATAATGAATTAGGGCCTAAAGAAATTTAGCTTATTATTATATTATATTTTTATAATATTTTTTTCTAAATTACTAATTTGTCTATACATTGAGAATATGCATTATAATCCAAATAAAAATATATCTTTATTATTAGGTTTTAAGTAAATTCTATAAATATGAAAAAAAAATCCAGGGGTTTTTTCTGGGGGTTTTTTCCCGGGTGTATATTTTCCTGGGTGTTTATTTTACGGGGAACTCATCTTATTTAAGCGTTTATACATAATCCAAGGAAGCGCTGTTATTTGGATATAGTACTATTTAAAAACGAATCGAATTGCATTACTAACAAATAGAATAATTTATTATTCATAATTTGTTTATTAATTTTTAAAATGATTATACAAAAGTATTTTGAAATTTTTTTTAAAAATGTTTACTACATGATGATCATGTTAATTAGTTAGATTAATAAATACATTGGGCTGTTAACTCTAAAAAGAAAGCCTGAATTGAGCTGATCGAAATATCATATTAAATTAGCATCAACTGCGTAAAGCCTTTCACGGGCAGTTGATGTACCTTTAATCATATGATGGGCCAGATTGAACTGGTTATCAATAGAAATAAATTATTATATTTTATTAAAAATTATCAATAATTGTTCTGGATTTATTTATTTCAAAACAGACCAATCAAATTATTAAAATCGTATTCTTTAGTATTAGTTCAATTCGTTTTCGAATAGGACTGATAGTTAATACAAATCTTAGTAGTCGTGTACAAGAGGGAGGGTAGGCTATAAACCCCCCTATAACCTCGAATTTTTTTATTCTTTAACTTTTTTTCCTTCAAAAAACAGTTAATTATAATTTTAATAATATAATTTATATTGTTAACAAATTAGATATTTACAATGGTGCATGCAAAGGAAGAAGGGTTTAGAAATTGAACACCCCCCCCCCTCCCCGCCTGATGGGAAAAAATTTATTTTATTTTTTTTAAGTTGATAAAACTCCCTCCTTAAATTTCTATTCCTTTATAATCATCTAGGAATTTTCTTTTTCTATTTAGAAAAGTGCTTGAAAAAATATCAAAATTTTTACAAATTAACAATATTAAAGATACAAAAAATATTTAGAAAAAGGGACGCTTCCCAAGGACGCTATAATTCGTATGGGATTATTTTCTATGTAAAAGCATACATAGAATTAATATTACTTAACTAAACAATCGTTTAACTTTAGCGTTTGAGGATAAAAAATTAGCTATTTTAACCGTTTTCAATTTTACAGTAACCAATCCATTTTATTTTGGTACCCCATTTTCTAATACCGGTAAAGTAGAAAAGCTAACAGCCACATTGAGTATGATAAAAAGGATTAATGATAATAGTAAAACTTATTTTAGATATTTCGTTCATTTAATTTAATTATAATTGCCTTTTCTAAAATCTTTGTTCTATCGAATCTTGGTATCAATTTTAGTAATTTTCGTATTTTGCTAATAACTTTTTTATTACAGTTTACCAAGCGGATTGAAGATTATACTAAAATGTTACTAAGCATTACATATTAGCCTATAGGTGTTTTCAAAATCTTGGTAAACTTCATGCTTAGCACTTCGTTTTAATATCAGATTCTTAAAATCTCGATTTAAAATTTAATGATTTAAACTATTTTATTTCTATATTTATTAAACAAACTGAAAAAAAATAACATCTATGTAGTACATAGAATCATAATTAAAAATATCCTGAATCGGGGAAAGCGAAACCTTAATGTATTTAGATGAAATTGATTTTTGAATTGAAATTCAAATTCATATTTAAGATTCAGCTAAAGACGTGCGTGACGTAATTTTTAATTCGCTTATAACCGGTTTTTATTTATTGACTGGAAAAACTGATTGATGAAAGTAAGTAATAATCATGCATTACATATTATTCATTGCTTCAATAATTTTCCTTCTAACATGATGTCAATCTTGGCAATTTTTATTTATTTTTCCAAAAATTTGAGAGATAATGATTTCAGATGTTTGGCTAACTTTGCGCTTATGCCGTGATATCATAGTTAGTTTTTGGTTCATAATTCGGTTATTTATTTTAATGGCTGGCGAAATTGATTAAAGTATTAATAAGACACTAAATATTAACGCAATGCCAGATAGTTTGAACTTGTATATTCTTCGTTCTTATTTTTTACTAATAATTCCTTTCCTCTTTAAGCCAACTACCAAGCAGGATAAAGCAATAAAATATACATGAAAAAATCCTGGCTACGCCCCTGCATGGAATAATTTGTTTTATTAAGACTTTAAATTTTTCTTTTTTGCATTTTAAAAATATGTATAAGGTGAATTCTATATCAAATCAACAAAGAAAAAGTCAATTCAATTATTAACCATAATTTTTTAAATTTTGTATATTGGTAATATATTATAACTAAGAAAATTATAAAATTTTACTTCCTTACTGTTATAGCTGTTGAAAAAAAATGTCAGTAATTTTCTGAGATGATAATTAATTTTTCCTGGGGTATGGGAGTGGAAAGGAGAACAACAGATGTTGCTTGGTGTCCTTTGTGTGAAGAGATGGATGTCAGAAATGATGATCAATATGAATAGTATGAAATAATGTGGATCACCACAATGTATTTTGTATAATTTTTGTTTACTTATTTTTGTATGACTATGAATTTTTATATTATGAATTTTTGTATGACTATGAATTTTTGTATGACTATGAATTTTTGTATGACTATGAATTTTTATATTATGAATTTTTGTATTATTAAATAAAGAATTTGAAGGGGTTTTTGTAGTGCATTTGTTTCAGTTACTGTTATAAATTTCAGATTATATTGGCAGGGAGGAAAGTAAGGGGTTTTTACACTTAAAACCCTTACTATCTAAGATATGGGGGTTTAAAGAGCGGAAAATGGTGCATTTTTGACAAAATGCCTTCATTAATTTTCAAATATTTCAAGAATAAATAAAGTTAGAGCAATAATCTAAACTTTATTATATAGCTTAATAATAAATCTTTAATATGACAATAAAATAAATGTGAGAGAAACCCGATTAATATCCAAAACCGTAAGTACAAAACCGTAAATCATAAAAAGGGGAATTTTTTCCAATTTTTTTTTCTGTAGAAGTATATCAGACTGCTTTATGTACTGAATTCTAGACTGGAATGAACGTGAGTCTAGGAGTTATGACGCTCTATATGGCTAAAATTGATCAAATTTAAAATAAATGACCTCATATTTAAATTTAATGAATACTAACGTAATAATTTTTATTTAACAATTATGTCTAAATAAAAGACCCTTACTTTATTATTTTAAAAAATATATTTGAGATGGGCAGGGGGGGGGGGGCAATGTTGGTTATTTAACACTCTGGTTAATTTTTCCTCGAAATTACTTGTCAAAATATTCTAAACATATTTATAACTTTATTTTACTAAATCATTTCTATATTTACATGTTATACAATCAAAAATTTATAATAATGTACAAAAATTTTAAAATATATTATATATTAAATCACCCGAAGAGTTGAATAAATTTTGCCTTTCATTTTATTTTCTTCTAGGGTAATAAAAGTATAAAAGTTTTTGTACCAGAAATTTGTTTTGCTGTCAAAAACCTCTTTTCAAGATAATTTTTCATAATTAGATATTTACCATTGTTTACATATTTATAATATATCCCTCTTATATTATTTCTTGCATTGTTATATGAATCCATTGTTGTCAATATATGATCATATGAACGTTGCAAACTTGCTCAATTTATTGACCGTCTAGTAGAACTCCCTAAACTGTCGTAGGGACTTTTACCAGGTGCTGTTACAAATAAATGTCACTCTGCCTTCATACCATAATAATTTTCATGATTGTAGAGGTTAATGAAGCTTTTTTTTCTATATTGGGTAACTACCCCATCAAAAAAATAATGAATTTTGGCTACTCTGCTAAATCATTCCTTAAAGATATCAATTTTGTTTGAAATAAATAAAATACATATGCGTTGTGCTTTAAACAAGATATAACAAAATTTGCTTGTTTAATTAAGCCTTCTTAACAGTAATAAGTCATGAAAAGGTAAATAGTGGTCTGATTATTGGTCCAATTGAATACTTGTGCATGGTCCTGCATTACAAAGGCATAATTTCTTAAAATTAGTAATAACTAAGAAATCGCAAACATATGAATTGGATAAAAATAACATCTTTATTTATTAAAATATATTAATTTTATAAAAAAAAATATAACAATTTCATATTAACATAATCAATATAAAAATATATTAAAAGAAGGGGAAAAATTTTTTTATATTTAGCTATGGTCGGCAGGGCTTAATGACCCATGTATGGATATGCAGTTGGAACGACAGATTTTAATTGATATTCTTTGTCGAAGGTAAAAGCCTTCTTTTGGATCACCTGTGATTAAACATAACCTTTGACCTATTGTTTTGAATAATTTTAGGGCTTGGGGTCCAAATGATCCACAGGTGTCTGAGACTACCGGAACGAACAAAACATTATTAAGGTAACAATATTATTAGTTTTTGTATTCTCCGCTTTCGTGATGGATTGGCAGAAAAAGATCTGGCAAAACGATTTACGCATGTATAATCCCAAGCGAGAGGTAAACCTTGGTTCCAAGGGACTAGCGTCATTCCATCTGGTCTATTATCGTAGCTAAGGTCAGTGGGTTCCAGTGTACAGGGAATATTTGTGGATTTCAGGGTTCTACTAATGATTGAATTGATAGCAGAGTGTCTAGAAAGTCTGCCTTTTGAGAAACGAATTATAATGAGTTTTGAAATAAAGATCGTTGTGAACCTATAAGAATGAGGAATCAAATTATTTAATTTTCTAAATAATCTACAAATTAGTTGGCGGGGTTTGTCAGCAGAAATGGTATATAATCTATTGAATTCGCATCAAATAATAAATTATAAATATGATAATATTTATGTTAAATTTGATCAATTTTAGCTATATAAATGGTCAAAACTCCTAGGCCCACGTTCATCCCAGTCTAAGATTTTATATAAATATAAAGTAGTCTGATATACATCTACAGAAAAAAATTTTGAAAAAAATATCTTTATTTTTCTAGAGCCATTTCTAGTTTTGTACTTTTGGTTTTAAATATCAATCGGGTTTCTATCACATTTATTTTATTGTCATATTTAAGATTCATTATTAAGCTATATAATAAAATTTATATTATTGCTCTAACTTTATTTATTCTTTAAGATATTTGAATATTAATGAAGTTCATTCACTTTGTCAAAAAAGTACTATTTTTCAGCTCTTTAAACCAGGATTCCAAACCGAAACGAATATAGGTTAAGTTTAGGTTCGGATAAAATTAACGGTTCAAGGTTCAGGTTCGGTTAGTAAAAAATAAAAATATCGGTTATGTTCGAGCCTCTAAAAACCGGTTTGAACACTTTTGTATTCAAACCTACATTCGAATTATGTATAGGGAAGAAAACTTTTTTTTATTTCATCATTAAAATAAAAACACATATATAAAACCTTATTTTTTACTAATTGCACTTTATAAAATAATATTTAATTTATAAATAAAATATAACTGTTAAATATGGATTATTATTATTATAATGGTTATTATTTAGCGAAAATTTTTATATAAACATTCATTTAATTAACAATTTTTATATCTTACATGCATTTAATTAACACCATTTTTTCATTTAATTGTTTAATAGATTTTTTTATATATATAAAGGATAAATTTATATATAGATTGGAAGTTAAAAATATAGTTAAATTGTAGTTTAATATTTTTTAAATACATTATATAATAAAACTTATTTGTTTATTGCCTTGATCCCTGAAAAAAATATCAATGATTAATTTTAATATGAACAATATTTAACTTTATTTACTTAAAAATTTTTTATTAAGCCATTAATATAATTTCAAGATTCGTTCACTCATATTACATTTATATGGAGATAGTAATTTAATTGTTGAATAACATCTTTCCATACTAACTTGGGTAGCCGGCACTGCCAGTATTATATCAGACAATTTACATAATTCTGGCTATTAATTACTCTGATTTCTCCAATAGTCTAAAATATTTTTATTTAACCTAGGTTTTTTAGAAAAATTCTAATATTCTCCGATTTTTGTAACAGATTTTGTTTGTTACCAACTTTTTTCTAAGAAGACTTTCTACCTAATCCTCTTCAGATGAAGATACATTAACCGGCGTTGATTATCCTCCACTAGAATCCTCCACCCTTATAACAAAGTTTAATTTCATATTATACCATATTTTAATAATATGCTCTCTAGCCTTGGTTTTTTCTTCTTCAGTCAGGAGCACTTGATATGTATATAGTAAAAATTAAAAATATCATTATAAAAATCTTAATATTTTTTATGAATAGATAGAAAAATATATAAAGTAAAATAAAATTATTAATTAAGGTAAATAAGATTAGTAATTAAATTTATAAGATATAATATAATATTTTTAAAACATACCTTAAATCAAGATATAGGCATGACAAAAAGGTATTGTTGTTTAAAAGTTGTTTCTCTCCAAAATTCATAGCATCTATTATTCCAGCAAAGGGTGAAGTAAAAATAGAAATTTCTAATTTAACTTTTAGCCATATGCCATAAAAATCCCCTAAAGTTAGCTGCTCAAGTTGTAAGTTCTTGGTAGCTACTTTAAATGGTTTTAGGATATTTATCAACCCTATGATTGCTTTCCATTTCAAATTTTTAAAAAAAGTTCACTGTATGATACTTGAATGGTCTGCAATTAAAAGTGACCAATTCAATACATGCATCGATTATTATTTTTTATATTTAGTTTTACTGATATTGTTTGTTCTTTTAATGCTTCTTCTATTGTCTGTTGGCTTAATTACATCTAAAACTTTTTTTATTTTATTAGCTTTTGTTGTGATATTTTGTTAATTTTATAGAATTCTAGAGGGTGGTTTCTTTTTATGTGACGCTCAAGATTTGTTCTAACATGGCCTTTCATATTTATTTGACAATCATTAATATTTACATTTTGATGTGTCATTTATATTACTATATGTAAATAATTTATTTATTGGATTTAATTTTTCTCTAAACATTATAATTTACAAGCTTAAAATATTTAAAAGATGTTTTAAAATGGCAATATACTAAAGTTTATAAAGGTTATGACTGACACTTATAAATCAAATGTGAATGATATTAACAATTCGAATATAATTAAAATTTTTGCTAGTAATAACTTTCACACTATTTTATAAGCATAAAATGATGGGGCTCGAACCGGTTCAGAAGTATTTTAGCCGTTCGGTTTAGGTTTGGCTAGAAATTTTTTAGCGGTTTATGTTCAATAAAAAATACCGGTTTTTAGCGGTTTAATGGTTCGGTTTGGATCCCTGCTTTAAACCTCCATATCTTACCCATTAAGGGGTGTAAGGAAGTAAAATTTCATTTTATTAACAACATACAAAATTAAAAAAATTATGAGGGTTGATTTGATAAGGAATTCACTATATATATTTACTACAGTATAAAAAATCTCTATATATTTTTTAATTATAATAATTCGTTTTATTCGAATAATTGTCTATTCGTATTAAAAGAACAAATAAACTAATCCTATTCGTTGCTATTCGATACATTTTTGAATAGGACTATATTGGAAATAATTAAAACCAAGGTAGAATATTCCAGTTTGGAAACTTTTATTTATTTATATTTAAATAATAATTTTGATTACCTGCGCAATAAAAGGATGGGGTTGACCATTTTAGCTTATCCTTGATAAAAATACACTTGGAAATCATTGATTGCGAATAATTTTTATTCAAAATCATAACTGGGTAATAGCCTTCATTGCAATGATATTGAATTTGAGCGTTAGGCGGAAATTTATAAACTCCAGAAATATAACTTTTCTGTAAATTTAATATTCGATTGGGTAATGTGTAAAAACTTTGATCAATTTTTTGCTGGGCTTCAGCGTTTTTGTATGATAAATGTGAAAGCGGAATATTTAGCAAAGAATAAAACGAATTGTTAACAGTTGGTGGGATGATACAAAAATCTTGTTTAAATATTAAAAAAGTTATTAATTTATATTAAAAATATAAAACTAAACATTATGTCCTGATGAAAATATAACAAAATAATGATCCGATATAATCTTATAAAGCCCCTTCTCACTGAAAAAATTTTGTGAGCTCATCTTCCTTTTGGAGACTGAGTTAAGCAGTCATAAATACATGATAATTCCTTTTTCTAATACAATATCATAACATGATTAATCTGAACTGTATAAGAATGAGTAAAATATAGATTTTTCAAAAGATGTTCAATTTTTGTTATGTTATAACGATATATTTAATATTTTCTTAGATTTTCTTGATTCTAATCATTTTATAACAAATTATTTGTTAAGGTTGTATCAAACTTGCTTTAAAATTTTTCTAACTTCAAGAAAACAGAATAAAGTTTTGAAAATTTAAAAAATGTATTTTCTACAATTTCTAAAACGGCTTAATTTCCTGGTTTTTGATATAGATTTCATTAAATTTTTTGAGCGAAGCCTAAGCAAATATAAACTCGATTTTAAAATTAAACTTTAATATAAATAATTTTTGATATTTTAAAATATATACTAAAAAATCCCAAATCCATATTTCTTTTATTTTATATAAATAAGCTCAGGCCAATCGTTGAGCATACATATGTTTTTATACATTTTTTTGCGAATAATGAATGATCTTTCGCATGCACAGGAATTTAAACAAATTAAGTTATTACCTCACTATAATTATTTATGAAAATATAGGATTTTTGATATTTCGTTTATTATAACTCAATAATTTTTTTTTCCGGGCAAAAATTTTATAAGAATAGAAAAATAAGGCCAAAAATCCTTCAAAGCGTTTAGTAAATTGCTCTATGTTTTTTTACAAATTCCAAAGATTTGTATGTGGAATTTTTATCCCTTTTTCATTTGAGAAATTTATTTCTGAGAAATTTTTGTCAGGTGTGTGGTAATCCACCATGCATATTTAATAAGTTAAGTAAAAATATATTATAAAATAAAATAATAGGTAGGCCAGTTAAACAAATTTTTTAAATGAATGGGCGGCAGACTTTTTTAGAACTATGGGCGAGTGGGTGAATTAAAACTGGGTTTTCGGTTAGAACTCGCCCATTACAAACCTCTAATATTTTACTCTTATATATACTTAAAATTGATTAACTTACTTTAACTTTTTTGAAATAATGCATTGCATAACAATTTTAATTAGGAAGTTTGATTAACAAAATTAGCTAATTATAAAAATAGTGTGAAAAAATGAAAAAAATTTCAACAAAATATTTGTAAATTTTTTTTGATAAATAATTATTAATTTGCAATAAAATTCAGAGGCCTGCAGAAGTACCACTTGAACGACCCGGCCCGGATTTTTTTTTCAAAAATTATTTCCGGCCCAGCCCGACCCGGATTTTTAAAAATATATTTGATTTATTTTTTATTTTTATAGCTAATAATGGCGATTTCAAATATTTGGTTTTAAAATATACGGCCCGTCCCGGATATCTTTTTAAAAAAAAGGCCCGGCCTGGCCCGGGTATATTTAAAAAAATTAAAATACGGCCAGGCCTTAGGGCCTGGCATTCAGATCTCTGATAAAATGTTTGTAGATTATATTTTCTTAAGAATTTTTTTAAAATAATTAGTGTAAAATGAATAATTCATAGGTATTTTAAGAATTAAAATCATTATTTAATTCCGGTTCATCGAATATTGGATTCAAGTATGAATTGAATAATTTATTATCGGTATTTTAAGAATTAAAATCATTATTTAATCCCGATTCATCGAATATTGGATTCAAAGAAAATTTTATTTTTTCATTCCAAATTTAATTTAAAAAAAAGGGATTATTAAATGTAAAATTATTCTTTCAGGCAAACGATTATAAATTTAATTGAATCTATAAATAGTAGAAAAGCAGTATATTTTTCAAATTTGTATATAATAATTATTATGCTAGCGGATATATAAAATCAACTTAGAAATATTAATTATGCATATTATTAGAATATATTCAATTTAAAACATTATACAAATGTTCCCCATATTCAATTCCAAATCATTGATAAATCAATTGTTTTGAAATTTTATTACAGTTTTTCAATCTATCTTTGCATCAGAATGTTTGTAAGAAATAGCAAAAGGTTTCCATGTTCATTTAAGAATAATTTTCAAATAAATATTTATATTAATCCATAATATTTGAATATTATAAAATAATCTGGGATGTGAACCTAAACCAGGATCCTCGTATTTTTGCTAAACCAAAACTCCCTTTAAAAGAGGGTTTATGGGTCTTAGGTGTCAAAAAAAAATTTAAAAATGTTTAAAAATTATATTAAAAATCCATGACAAATAAATTAAATGAAAATAAGATTGAAAAATTTTGCTTTTTAAAAAGGTATTCATGTTGTAATTATGAGGAGAATTTGATGAGTGCTTTGGTAGAATTGGATACAATAAATGGAAGAACTTATTATTATTGAAGATTCTAGTTTA